CTGTCTCTCCCTCTAGCTCCCCTCTCTCGCTCTCGCGCTCTCTCTCTCTCTCTCTCTCTCTCTCTCTCTCTCTCTCTCTCTCTCTCTCTCTCTTCCCTCTCTTTCTCTCTCCCTCTCTCTCTCTCTTTTTCTCTCTCGTTTTCTCTCTCTCCTTCTCATTCGCTTTCTCTCTCTCTCTCTCTCTCTCGCTCTAGCTCTCTGTCTCTCCCTCTAGCTCCCCCCTCTCGCTCTCGCTCTCTCTCTCTCTCTCGCTCGCCCTCTCTCGCTCTCTCTCTCTCTCTCTCTCTCCCTCTCTCTCTCTCTCTCCCTCTCTCTCCCTTTCTCTCGCTCTACCTCTCGTCTTTACCGCCATGAATAGTGGCGATTAGATTTAAAAAATCACCTCCAAATTATTTTACGAGAGACATATAAGCGGCTCAAGTACCAGCGGTAGGGGGGTGTGACCACTCCTTATACATTTAGCAATCAGGGAGACAGGAGAAAATGTATTTTTTTCGCGCATAAGTCTGGATGTGGGTCACGGACATATAACGACCGCATATATACCTGGCGGGAGCACGGGGGCGGGCACCAGTCGCTCAGTACACGAAGGACAAACATCAGTTACCTGCCCCGAACCTACCTACCTACCAGGTGAGTCTGACTTGCTACTCATGATTAAGAAATCGAAACGGAAAAAAACAGACGAGGGAATATCTTTTTGGTTGAGTATAAAGCTTATGTGGGAATAGTTAATAATATATAGACATGGGTTAATAATTAAATGAACAAATAAATAAATAATTATATATATGTTTATTTACTTATTTATTTGTGCGCGTGCGCGCGCCTGCATGTACCCAGATAGATGGTAAATACTATAATAGTAGATAATATTGCTCACATGTAACTAGATTAAAGGATGCAGTCCAGCTTTTATAGGCGAAACTTTACCAAATTTTCATTTTCATTCTTATTCGATGGGTAATACTAGGTGCCACTTCTGTACATACTCATTTCGCCATATAACGATGCATGTAAACTTTTATCGTTCCACCGTTTTACACAGATCACCGCAACCATGCACGTGGTAGCCATTGCTGTGATGTTAGCCTGCGCTCTGTCGCTCACCCACGGAGCTTACGTCATTAACCCGGACGGAGTCGCATACGCCGACCGCCTGGCCGCACAGGGTAGAGCTGAGAACATCGTCCAACGATTCGTCGTGTCCGGGGTCCGACGTGGCAGCAGCGGAGGTGTAGGTGGCGCCACCCGCCGGCGGGTATTCGCATCGGCGGTCGGCGGCGGCGGCGGCGGCGGCGGCGGCGGCGGCGGCAGACGCTTCTCCGCTGACATATTCGGCAGCGCTAGCGGCGCCCTCGAGGCACGCACGTTCGGCAACTTCCTCGACGCAGCCTCGTTCGGCATTACCAACTTCGCTCCCGAGTACGTCCTTATAGAAGTGTTCAACTTCGCCGGAGCCCGCCAGTCGGCGTACGCGCTCGCCCCGCGCGAGTCTATCATCGATCAAAGCCAGCTGGAGCAGATCGTCGTTGGCAGGAAGTTCCGTAGCGGCTACGCTCGGCAGACGGAGACGAGCAGCGCACTGCGGGAGGGTAGCGGCAGTGGAGAAGCTGGAATCGAGCTGACGGCGGCTCGCACCGCCTCCCAGGACGCCACGCAGCAGTTCACGCAGCAGGCGACGGGAGATGGCAGCACCTCCCAGGGCGCCGGATATCAGTTCGAGCGCGATGGCGCCGGAAGGATCCGGTTCTCTCCGGTGCAGCTCGACTCGCTGCCCGTACACTCCGGATCCGCCAGGAGGCTGCCAGTATCAGCGCTGGGCCGCCGCTAGGTGTCGCTGGGAGCGTAGTTGGGATCTGCTGTCCCACCCGACGTGAGACTGACGTCGTGCACAGATAGGCGAACATCCGGGCATTCCAGAGTCAACACGACAACAACAACAACAA